GCTGATATTTCAACGCGGCAGCTTAAATAGAGCGATGATGCAAATGGGTTAATACTATATTGTATTATTAATGTAATAATAATAAGAAATCTTTTCATCAGTGCATCAATGAAAACTCAAACAAAAGACTTATAGATATCCGACACGCTTAGAGGAGATTTCACTTGAAACCAGCACGTCCAGTTTTCCAAAACGATCTGTTTCTTTCGTTTCTCTTTCAGAGTGAAGCTATTAGTCGCGCGGCGTATTCGCTGCCGTGGTATCAATACCCTTGCAGTTTACGAAACCCGACGAACTTGCTTATAATCAGAAGTCAGAGGCCGGTCCGCTTAACCGCTGGAAAATTCGCAGTCCTTTCGCTGGAAACGTTTGCCTCTGTATCACTTTCTTTCTCTCCTCCATTCTCTTCCCCCTTGTTTCCCTTATTTTGTCTGTTCATCTTTCTTTCCAGATGATATCCACCGCTGCTTCGTTCTTCACCATGATACGAAGCGTGAACTGACGTTTATTCATCGAGCAACACCTCTATTTCCTTTCTCTGTTCGTTCGTTCACCTAGCAATCATCAAGACGGATGTCGTTATTTCGAACGGACACGAGTAGACACGGCTAATCGAATAAACAATTGAATCGAAAATATCAATCAGTCTCCAAATATCTTTCTCTCTGTCGCTGCCGAAAGGATGAAAGGACGACGATAATCGAGGCGATGCGAAGTCAACTCGTCGTGCGAGGAATAAAAGAGGAGTGAGCAAAAGTAGCCGGGAGAAAGGGTTTCAATGTAATCGATCGTTCGAGTTAAAACGTTTCGCGCGTTCTATTCTCGTTTTGATTTCGCGGCAAGACGAATCTCCGTAGCAGGAGAAAAAGGTGTTCCGTCTTGTCGATCGAGATGTAAATTGCAGTGTCCGCGAGCTATCATTTACCGCTCTTGCACATGCTAATTTAACATTAACCTCAGCATGATCCATATGATTCGATTGCTTGTATTGAATACCGAAAGCAGGTTCAATTTTTTTCTTACACTTTTTACAAGATTATTTTTTGTCAGACTATAAGATACTTGCGATTAGAGTGTTGACTCAAGCACGAGTATATTTGGATTAATTGATGTTTCTTAGAAACAATAACGTAGCGAATAACCAAGAAAACGCAAGTGATACACGTCTTCGGAATATATTATACCTTTCAGTCTGGTCGTATGTCCAGACGCTGTAAAATTTCATTTTCTTCAGTTTTGAATCACGGTACGCGCGAACAAACGCGTCTCTCCGAATATTGGCCAGAAGAAAGAAAGCCACGTTCCTGTTCGTCGACGATAGTTGAAGCTCCGTTCAAGAAATTCTATTGGCCTCCCTATCGATGATCACGTCTCTCCGTTCGTTCGCTATTTCTTTGTTACTCTTCTTCTTCTTCTTCTTCGAACTGCGTTTTCGGCTACGGACCAATCGTTAGTCGCCTTCGAGAGGTTGTTACATCGAGTTGTATCTTGCTTTCGTCGATGGATCGACGTAGAGACGAAGGGAGAAGAAAAGAGACCTATAAATGGGTGGCGAACGTCGGGACAATTCTTGGATTCTTCGGCAATTACCGGTTAAGTGAGTTTTTCTGTAATCCTGCGATATCCCAGGATCTCGCCGCGAGTGTTATCCAAAGCATCATTCTTGCGATTACTGTCAACGCGATTTCTGGACTTGGCTCGGCTTGAATCGAGCCCGCCTTGAACTCGAGGCCTTCTCTCTAGCGACGACAAATTGCGAAAATGCGGGAGACAGCCAGGAGAAAGGAAACGAGGGAAAGAAGAAGCAAGCGGAAGCGTTTATTATGTAATTTATTATGTTTTTTTCTTGTACGTTTATCGTAATTTATAGTAGAGAGAAAATAAAATTTATTAGGTAAATATACATGAATATATATATATATATATCAATTGATATTATATCGTTTTGATTTATTATTAACTTTAACGAAAAATGTTGCAGATACCCACTCGCGATCTTCATTCACAAGGTATTAAATACTATCGTTTGAGGCAGTCATTATGAACGATTTCGAGACTTCTCACTCCGAGGGAATTTCTTTCGCTTCCACCAATCTGAGAGACGTAAAGTTAAACAAGAAGTCGAGGATAAGCCTGAAACAACATTTTCATACTTTCTCCGCTGTACGGAATATTCTGTTCACTTCTTTAAACAACAATTTTGTACAACACAAGTAGAGCTTTTCCAGCTGTGGAACGCCAGCTGTGGAACTCAGTGTTCTCAGTCCTAAGAATCGTGCCTAGACAGCGATTTCGGACGAAATGGCTGGAAGGAAAAGCGAGCAATCTGTGGAAAAGACGATCGCTGGCGTCGCTATCCGAAGCTCGGTTCTTCTCGAATTAATTACGCGGTAGATAGGAACAGCGAGATAGAGGAGTCGCCTGTCGCCGACAGGCTCTTTTCCTATCTCGTTCTATCTGGATGTCTTTGGTTCGTTTCCCGGCCGCCCTAATCGAGCTCGATGGAAGCGAGCCGAGAAGAATCGGAATCGACCGAGAGAAGCAGCCGAGAAGATCGAACGAAGAGTTGCTCGTGTAAGCTCGTGTCGATTTAGCAACAAGTTGCAGCTGGTGCTCGCGCTTTTCCCTGGAGTTTCCCTAAAATCAACAAGTGAATTCGCTTTCCTGCTTGGAATTTCTATATCACTTCCTCGTTCGGCTCCACAGGTGGTAACGCAGGAGGTTACGGCAGGTATCTCGCGGTTTAATCGCCAATGCCGTTCACACGAGTCGCCTATCAAACGAGCTATCGTGTCTCGTCGTTCCTTTTTCCCCCCGTCGTGCCCCCCCCCTCCTCTCGCGATTTCGCGCACGATTATTTCAGGACGAATTTTTCAACGTGAAGCGTCACGAGCGTCGGCGGCCACGCAAGGAAACGATCGATCGGCGTTCCCTCGAGTCTCGCGTGGCCGGAGGACTCGGTTTCTGGAACGTGATAAAAGCCGGTTTAATAAAGCGACCGCCTCTACGTGTTCACGTATCGAGAATTCTACGGAGGCTCCGCGTTCCATTCCACCTCTGGGTCTGCATTCCCATCGTCCACTACACGCCTTCCCATTACTCTGCCACCCCTTGCATCTTAATCTTAATAGCAGCTCTCGCACCGAATATCTCGCCTTTCCCCTCCCGATCCCTTCAATTCTCCCTCATTATGAGTTTTTCGTCGTCTGCCTTTATCTTCGACCACCGCAACTGATGTTACAGCCCCTCCCCTCTTTAGTTTTCCGTTTCTTCTTCTTCTTCTTCATTTTCTTCTTCTTTTTCTTCTTCTGCGTTTAAGATGCGTCTGTTCTGACCAATTCAATGCCACGTCACAGCAATTAAATATGTGGGATTGAATAGAAAACAAAACGACTCACAAACTCTTTATGATCTTTACTTTCTGAAGTCTCGGTTCTCTCGTCCCAATTCCTTTACGATATGCTTCCTCGAAGCTTTCGTCACTCTCACACACTCATAACACCCTTAACATTTCAAGTCCTAGGCTTGGGCGACTAAAACAAATATTCCCAGCCTTCGTTACAACGTCATCTCAAGTGGCACTCTGCAGGCGACAATTGTCTCGTCCTTGGGGAACGTTCCGGGCCTTTTCCCAGATTTCCCCCATCTCACCAATATGTTACAATCCCTTTCTCTCACGTTTACAGTTCCTTTACAGTTTAGAAGTGTATTGATTTCTTTGTCTTCAAACGACAAGTTTTCATCCAATCGCCCATACAGTTCAATGCAGTTCTCTAAGGCAACTCACCGATATACCTGTAAATACAATTTTATAAATTTCCAAGCTGGCCTCGAGCCCGGTAAGGGTTCGTCGATACGAGATCGCGATCAATGTAAGCGTCGAAGATATATGAAAAGACGATGATCAGCGATGTACTCGGAAAAATGGAAGGGACAGGGAAGATCGAAGGTGTGACTGTGCTAGATCGTTAGAAAGGGAAGAGAGAAAGGACGGAAGGACAAGTCGGAGAAGCGAATGACGAGGAGAAATAGTAGTAGGCGCGAAGGAAGGGATGAATGGGGCGCGTGGGTAGGGACAGGGGTTAACGCGGAAGCGTTTCGAAATCAGGGGCGAAGAGAAGCGTTAAAGGGGCGGGGAGCGATGCGAGAGGGCAGTGGGGGTTTCCGGAGGCGCTATGGACCATGCGCTCTCGCGTCGGAGCGAAAGGACCTCTGGATCTTCGAGGATCGAGAAGAGAGGCGACGGGTGAAAGAAGTGGCGGAGGCGCGAACGTGGACGTGGCCGCGATCGCGAACGCGAACGCGAAAGCGAATGCGGACGACGGTGGGCAGAGAGTGCCACCGAGCCCCGAGTCGGAAAAATCGGGGTGAGATGCACCCTCGCCACCATCGTCACTCTCAATCGGCCGCGACGCTTCCACCTGGAAGCACGGCTACTCCACGCTAACCGGCCCGTCGTCCCACCGTTCACCAACGACTTCATCAATCTCGTGGAAACCGACTTTTCTATCTTCTTTTCCTTCTTCGTCCGATCGACTCTGTCTCCTACGTCATAGGTAAGAAATTTCACTCTTTTTCTACATTTCCATCTTCTTTTTTTTCCCGTTATCACTCGTTTTCACTCTAAATTCACGCACGCGTGTACAAACTTTTCGTATAATAATGATCAGAGATGACGATCGATCGTTGCTCGTTTTATAATGATCAAGTGTCGCGATGATTTGGATAAATGCAATGGCAGCGAGGATCTCGAATCGATTGCCGTCGCCGATTCATTACTGGAGAGAAAAAAAAAAAAAAAAAAAAGAAAGAAAGAAAGAAAAATCAGACTCACGCTCGACTCACATTTCCTTTCTTTTACTTCTTCGATATATAACGTAGAAGGCGAGCGCTTCCCTTTTTCTCGTTAAATTTCCGTTCGTCTCTCGTCTGCGTCTCGCGATTGCAGTGCCAGAGCGCGTACATTTCTAATCGAGACTCGCCGAGTTTCAAGCTCCGTTTCAATTCACACTCGAGGCTGTACCCTCATTTCCGCGTGTCGTTCGCAGGTTTGGTTTTGGATTCGGCCGCGCCGCCGCGCCAGATCTTCGCTCTCGTCCTCGCCGTTTTGACTTTGACATTCACTTTGTCCGACTGCAAATGTCCGATGACGATTCAAATTAGAAGTGAAACGTGGAGAAACGAACCGATCTTACTTGCCTCGCCTTCGAATCTAGTTGCACGTACGTACGTACTTCGAATGTAGACATTCTATTCACATTCTCAATAGAGATCGTCACGGCGAAACGAATCGTTTTTGGAATAATGGCTTTGGAAGAAAAACAGTTTCCGGTATCAGGCTCGCGAGGTTAATAGATCGGTAACAAGGTTATAAAGCAATCTGCATAACCCTGCTTGGTACTTTGCTCCAGCTACAGGCTTGTCCCGTAGCACTGCGAGCGGTCTCGTAATTACCAGGTATAATGCGATTACTCGATCGCCAGACTTGCTGTAACCGAGAAGAGCCAGCTTCTCCTTCGAAACTCGCTCTCCGCTCTTCCTTTTCCTTGCCTTTTTCATCCTTTCGCTCTCTGTCCGTCGTTCTCCTTCTCTCTCTCTTTCTTTCCTTTACCTTTTCTTTTTTTTATTATTCTCTTCATCCCAGTTAATGATTTTATTCCTCTTTCCTGTTAATAATTCTCATTTCTGCAATTTGTCTGCTTCGTAGAGAGCGTTTCCTCGGGCTTTCTATCGATCCAAAAAAGCGAGCGGTCGATGTGTCCCCTTGTAAAGTGGAAAAATGGCCGATGATTCAATTCTCTGTAGTTTTCTTTTCTTTTTTCTATTTTTATTTCTCGTTCCTGTAATTTGTCTGCTCAGTGAAGAGAGTTCCTTAAGGTTTCTATTCCATCTAAAAAAAAAGCGAGTGGTCAATGTACTCTCTCGTAGGATGAAAAAAGATGTCGAGAAGGCCGATGATTCCATTTTCCTTCTTTTCCTTTATCTGTTTCATTCTCTTCCTCCCGAGTTGATTTTGATCTTATTTCTCTTTCCCTTATATTCTCATTTCTGTAATTTGTGCTTGACGAATTTCTGCTTCGTAGACAGGGTTCCGTGGGTTTTCTATCGATCGAATGAGCGAGCGGTCGATGTACCCTCACGATAGACGGCGAGAAGGCCGATGAGTTCATAATACGTATCCCGAGGATATCGTAAATTCGTTTAAACGACACGGCGTCACAGCCGTAATTTTATTTCGCGTTCCTATTTGTATTCAATCCTGTATCCCTTCGCTCGCTTCTCCACACTTCCACTCCTCTTCCACCCCTTTTTTTCATTGGCACTATCGGTGAATCACGGGGTGTCGCGCCCCATTGCATCGCTACGAGATCAAAATGTCCGTGTATATGGCGATTCAATTATTTCGATGATTCGTCTGCCTGTTCGTCGGGTTCTCGATCCATTATATTGCATTATATCGCTCGGTGGTTTTATTCCGTCGTGTGTAATCACGATACGCGATTGAAGTAATTTCTGGGGACCGACAGGCAATAATTTATTAATTGTATGTCAAGTTAAGGGAATTCGGCATTAATTGTTGAAAACAATTGATTTTCAGCCTGTTAATTTAGCCTGTGAGAAGACAATTCTAATTACTAATTTAACACTTGCAACTTCAAATAATCTTGTTGGAAAAATTCATTATTTTATACACAGAATTAGATGGAGATATATAATAATTATACAGAGAATACTTATTGCTTAGTATAAATACTATCATAATAAAGGATTTGACATTTGCTGAAATTCTTCTTCCATTTTCTTATTTCGTTCTCTCCGCTCTCATACTGTCTTTGTATCATCTTTCAAGTGAATTTTGTAGATTATATCGTCGAGCTACCAGCAAATCCGTAAATTCAGATTCGTCAATAGAGAGTATTGAATTTTGAAAATTCGTCGCGAATATACACGTGTAATTGCAACACGGCATTTGACACATGTCATTGACATAGGTAGATTGTCTCGACACTCGGCTTAAGCTTGTTATTCCGGCTTAACGATCGTCTTGCCTTCTTTGCTCTCTCATCGTGCATAAACACGCTGTTTTCCGTCACGTTGAACGGTGTAAGTCTTCATTCGTGCGTACGTAGTCTCGCTGTACAATATCTTTCACTTTCCTCTTCAGTTAGTGAAAGAGGACGAACGTCAGAAGAAAAGACTCAGAATTTTTGAAGCAAAGTACACGGATCGTATGTATTCTACAACTAGCCTAACCAACTCTTGCTTGATAATTGATAGTTGTAGAAATCTGGAGCATGGAAGAGACTCGACGAAAGGTGAGTGAATGATGAGGAAAGGAAAAAGAAAGGAAGGAAGGAAAGAAGTGTGAACGGTGGTGTTCCTCCGGAGGTCTGTGCTTCGAAGACGACGAAGCGTCGAATCGATCTGCGGGCTAATCGTTTCCTCGTCGTGTCGGCCAACTTGTTGAGGCGCGAAGCAACAGTTTGCCTTTTAAACGGCTCTCTTGTTCTCCGATTCCTTCGTCCCTGGCGTTCCCGATTTCCTTCTTCCTCCTCCTCCCCCTCCGTTTCTGGCGACGAATTTTCCTTCCCCTGCGATCTCTCGAAGACCTTGCCCGGCGAGAGGGAAGATTTGAAACGCGGTAATTAACGCGATACGTTTCGAAGGAAAGTCGATTAGACTCGTCGCGATTAATCGTCGTGTCCTGCTCGCGAATAATTCTCACTGTTGGCTACGGAGTCAGAGTGTTATTAAGTTGTCTCGAAGATACGATCGAGCTATTCATTCGACGGAACTGTGCTATTCCGGTCGGTTCGGTCTGGCAGCAGCAGTACTAATTGCTTCTCAAAGCGGAAACTAACTTTCCGAGAGACGAGTGAGTTACCGCGGGCGCGTGCAAAGGGTTCGCCTGTCGGAAATCCGATCTCTCACGAGGGTCTCTCCTCCGTGCGGGAAGGAAGCGAACTTTCGTTGGTCGCGTTCCTCGCTGGCGCCGCGTCATCGCGGTGGATTCGCGAAAATGAATTGAAAATCGACGAGAAGCACTCGGCAAGCGACGACAACAGGGCGAGTGAAAACGTAGAACGCGTGGCACGAATCCCAAGATAAATCGCGTTGGTTTGACGGTCGACACGATTTTTCTATTAGCACGCCTTTCTCCGTGTGTTCACAATGACTTGTGAAAGTGTTCGAGCATTCGCTGTAGAAACATCTTTATGAACACGTTATATATAATAAGTTAGACTTTTTGGGAATTTCATTAACGAGATATCGATGAAGAAATTTGACAACGAATTCGAAACGTAGTTACGAGAAATTCATTGTAAATGTATTGTTGGTGTAAGAACAGTTCATGAGCAATTGGCTGAATTGGTCGAAAAATTGTACGAAAAATGAGTGAATTCGAAAGATGAACGCTTCCGTACGAGAGGAGCTGGCACTCTCCTCCGAGGACCGCCAGTGAAAGCAATATAAAATATTTATATTATACTTATATCTAGAGGTACAAAAAAATATTTTCTTGCACTTGTAAAAAATTAGTACACAATATGAAGAGTGCTAAGTATAGTCTTACTAAGTATCGTTGTCTTAATAACATTAATTGTATTTTATTATTTTATTACATTATATTATTTTTTATTTTATTTTTTTATTTCTACTATATTATTTCAGTATCGTTTCAATAATAATGATTCAGTTATTTAAATATTTCAATGATACTTGGCGAGGCGTGTGTTTACGACGACCTTCTACGTAACTTCTACGTGCCTATTGTTTTCAGATTTAACCGCTACACGAGATTTACAAGACAATATCTGAACGGCTCGTCGATGTAAGCGATACACGGTGCGAGAAAGAGAAAGACCGGGGATAAGAATAGGTGAGAATGAATACTGGCTGAGAATGGAAATAGGAACGGTGATAGGTCCGGTGTCGATTAAGTTCGGGTCGGGAACAAGGGGTGTGGAAAAAAAGGGTGGTCGAGTGGGTGCGGAGGGCGATGGTGTTGAAGGAGCAGCGTGGAAGCACGGGTGCGTTTCATCGAAACGGGATAACGAGGTCGGATGAGTTGCCTGGTTCCACAGTCACTTCATCAACGCGGAGCCAACTAAACTGTCAATCGCAAAGCCCACTACCGTGTCAAACCCTTTCGACAGCATCTAGATATTCTCGTCTCGATAACGCGCAGCACTTCAGCCATCGATTTCAGTCGTATCCGCGGTTGCACGCGATGCACGACTTCTCTGAAAATTCAATTCGAATTACGTGCTCGATTAACCGTCGCGATCGTCTCTCGGGAGAACGGTGTGGTATCGTTATGGTGTACGGTTTGGCTCGCGGTTTTCAGATGAAAACTAAACGTAATGGGGCAAAGTACTATGATTTCACTCCAATGAGCTGTGTGATATAAGATGCGCGAATTTTCGTTCGGGAGTTGATGATTCTGAATTCGTCGATTAGGATCGGAATCGATTTGCTGCACGCTTATTAACTAAATTTTCAAATTTTTCTGAGAAACCCGTTGTATTTCTTTGTCAAACGTACACTCGGACAATGTGGAATTGTAAAAACCAAATTTGTCGCAAGGCCATCGAATCTCAAAATATGAATTGCAGATGTTGGCTGATAAGAATTTGCATTGAATTCGTTGAATTTAGAAGAAGCTGTGAAGAAAATGTAGCAAGATGGTATGCTCAGATTATAAGAGAAATCTCTGGACTTTAGCAAATTCGAGTGATCGTGATAGGTGATTCGTTTTTCGTTATGACGGAGGAGCAATGTTCGTTTGTTGGATGTGGGAAAGGGGAGGATCTTGTAAAAAAACGCGGAAGAAGGGAAAGCCGGTAAAGTACTTCTTTCGTAGGTAGAGACGGAACCGCTCGCGGTCATTCTTCGTCGTAATTACCGAACAGATGAGAGAATGAAACACGACGAAAAGAACGAAAAGCAAAGTATGCGAGCCAACCAAAGTGGTAAGAGAAAAATCTTCTTCGGTCCTTTTCCGAGAATAATGCACGCACCCAGGGGACCTGGCTTTCAGGAAAATGCTGATTGCTTCTCTCTCTCCGTCCCCCTCCCCCGTCTGTCATCCGCCACGCCCGACTCCCCTCATCCCCTTGTCCTTACAGTTAACTCTCCGCGATTTCTTCGTACCGATTCTCTTCTTGTCTCCGATATCTCCTTTCCCTTCTTTCCATTCCCTTCGCTCTCTCTCTCTCTCTCTCTCTTTCTCTCTCTCTCGCTTGCCTGAATCAATCTCTACTTGATTTCCTCCTTCATCGGCCAGAACATACGCACAGACCTCTCCGGTCTTATCAATATTTCACTTGACCCTGTAGACATTTACCCCCACTCGAAGCACCCGCATCTCCATCCGTTTGGAAAGGCATACACCAAGTGCATAAGCATCGATCGTTCATTTGTTACGACGTTTTGTGAAACACAACAAGTGCGATTAGCAGCTTTGGAAATTTCTCGATCCGCGTGCTCGTGACAGATTTACTGCAAGTTTCGATCTACAAAGTTTCGAATAAAATTCATCGTTTATTCCTCGCGTGTTTCGAGAAACGTAAAAATCATGATCACGTAGAATTGTGTAGAATCAAGGGGTATTTCAACATCGTTAGTAAAATATTACTGACAATCGTTTCAACTTACACATCGTGTTACGGCGAGCAAAAAAATCGTTACAATATTTGAATGAATTACGAATTATCCATTACGCGAGATTACCGGGACGGACAACTGGTCTAGACTAGACGGATAAACGATCGAACCTCGGATGATGGAGAGGTGTGTACATTTACGATGAAAAGAGGCGAACGAAAGCCAGAGAAGGCTTATCTCA